AAGCTTCAAGTTGGCGTTCAATTTCATTCTACTTATATATATGAGAAGGGACACCACAAAAGGAGGCTAAAGAATTAAGACCCTTTTGATGCAGGCAGTGAATTAATTGCCTCTTTTGGAAGACTGGATTTTCACGCTTTTGTGATGTACCCTCTCATATATATATGACCGTTTGATATCCTATGCTKGTAATTTGTAAGAAAATGGTTGCTAGGTTACATTTATCAGGTTACATAGACGTTCTTGAGCGTGTATTTATTTCTGTGGGGACATGGGCTTGCGAGTTCATTACGTTTGTTTAGCGAAGATAGGTGTTTCTTACAGATGATTATGAAACTTTTCGTTCAAGCATAAGTTACATTTTTTGTTCTCATTATTACGTATCAATGAATGGGTATTCCATCTCGAAAACAAAGGTTTTCCAAATATGGTATCAAACTCGTTAAGAATCATTAAGAATAACAAAAGGTCTTGATGAGCCCGGGAGATTTGAAAAACAAAAGGTTTTCCAGAGAGCGCGAAATTTTTAAAAATATTGCGGTTGACTTCACACACCGACTTCGGAAGAGCTCGGAAAGAGCAAAACAAATTTTAGAGGGGGCTGGTTGGAAGGCATTTTGTCAGCGAGACAAATCACCGTGGGGGGAGGTGTTATTGCCAAATTTTAAAGGAACAGTTATGATCCTACAGATAACTACTGTCARAAACGTAACTTGTTCAAGGATTATTTTGATAATGTAAGACAGGCTATTGCAAATAATTCACTTTCTTGTAGCCCGTACTCGACTTATTTTATTCTTTTATACGATATGGTTGGCTTTTTTTGATTATTTTCCACGTCAGGTTGAATTTTCTATTTTTGTCTTTCACTTCCCAAATGTGCTTAGATAGTTCTGTTGAACAAGGGGTCATTTCATTGCGCATGCACGATACGCTTGAGCTAAACTTGGCCACAGCACTGTTTCGCAGCTCGTTCTAGCTTTTGTTTCAGAAACCGTCAGGGAATTGAAGAACAACAAACAGTGCTTCATGTATTCAAAATTATGAAAACTGAAAACCTTAGTGGAGATGCAATATATCAATATATTTCTGCTATATGTATTTCCTTCGCTTTTTTCCCCTCCCGAATAATTAATGAGTATGAGAAGTTGTTCAGCCTCGGACTGGAACTAATTGCGCGGACTTGAAATCCCGTCCAGTCCTCATTGTCGGACTTGAAACATTACATATAGAATATATTGTGTCCCGGTTAGTAGCAGTGCAAGAGTGGCGACATGATTGGNATTTTAGAGGGGGCTGGTTGGAAGGCATTTTGTCAGCGAGACAAATCACCGTGGGGGGAGGTGTTATTGCCAAATTTTAAAGGAACAGTTATGATCCTACAGATAACTACTGTCAAAAACGTAACTTGTTCAAGGATTATTTTGATAATGTAAGACAGGCTATTGCAAATAATTCACTTTCTTGTAGCCCGTACTCGACTTATTTTATTCTTTTATACGATATGGTTGGCTTTTTTTGATTATTTTCCACGTCAGGTTGAATTTTCTATTTTTGTCTTTCACTTCCCAAATGTGCTTAGATAGTTCTGTTGAACAAGGGGCCATTTCATTGCGCATGCACGATACGCTTGAGCTAAACTTGGTCACAGCACTGTTTCGCAGCTCGTTCTAGCTTTTGTTTCAGAAACCGTCAGGGAATTGAAGAACAACAAACAGTGCTTCATGTATTCAAAATTATGAAAACTGAAAACCTTAGTGGAGATGCAATATATCAATATATTTCTGCTATATGTATTTCCTTCGCTTTTTTCCCCTCCCAAATAATTAATTCAAGTCTGCGCAATTAGTTCCAGTCCTCGGACTGGAACTAATTGCGCGGACTTGAAATCCCGTCCAGTCCTCATTGTCGGACTTGAAACATTACATATAGAATATATTGTGTCCCGGTTAGTAGCAGTGCAAGAGTGGCGACATGATTGGRACACAAGAATTTAGATCGAAATAGAAACGTCAGTTATATCATTATAGTTAAATCTATGGCTATATATATAGTTTGCTGAAGAAGGCCGAAGTGCCGAAACGTCCAATAAACAGGGTTATTATAGCTTCAAGTTGGTGTTTTGTGTTATTTCATTCGACTTATATAGATATAGATATATATATTAATAGAATAAATTGAAGAAAAAGGCACACAACTTGCATCTTGGTTTTCTACTCTTTAATGTACGTTTCGGCACTGACTTCGGCCTTCTTCAGCAAACTGAGTATATATATACAGCTGTCAAACTGAGTATATATATACAGCTGTCAAACTGAGTATATATATACAGCTGTCAAACTGAATATATATATACAGCTGTTTGCAATAATTCTGACCCCCTCTGCCATATTTCATATATATCAAACTGACCTTATTATGGGATATCATGACTGATATATTTTTTGAGTTGCCCAGAATGAGTACTTTCTCAAAAAAAATATCAGCTACTTTGATATATATGAATATTAGTGTAGGGGGGGGGTCTGAATTTTTGCAAATAGCTGTATATATATATATGAATTGAATAAATTGAAGAAAAAGGCACACAACTTGAAACTAGTATTTCTACTCTTTATTAGGGAATTTTTGATATATAACGCGCGCTCTGATTGGCTGACGACCGTGTTTATACCAGAGGACAGAGACACGRCTTACCGGCAAAATTTTCTTTTCGCTCGAAAAATTTTATAAAAGAAATATAAAACGGCCGCTTGTGTCTCTGTCCTCTGATATAAACACGGTGGGAGTTGAAAAACACTCGAGAAGCAAGAGAAACACTCGCTACGCTCGTGTTCCTAAGCTTGCTTCTCTCGTGTTTTTCGAACTCCCACCGTGTTTATATCAGAGGACAGAGACACGCGCGCCGTTTTATATTTCTTAAATATANAATTGTTTCGTGTATGAATAAAGTCTACTGACTTACTTACTTACTTAATTTACTGGGTTTACTGGAGCATTGGATGATATGCGTTTCTCCCTCTTGTCGCCTGCTGACCGGCCGCGGCCGGGTACTGTTGATGTACTTATGGGTATGTTCATGGTCGAACCCACAGGCTGCGATCCGACATGTCCGTCGTAATGTCTACACATTTGCCATGACATGAAAATTTCCACRGCCCACTTCGTTTTGTATTGTAGATTGTGGCGTAGCTTTTGACAATAACTCAGCATCTTCTTCTCGAATTGTTGTTGTATGATGCAAACAACTCGTGAATAAAATCCCGTACGTCGCACTTTCCATGAAATAAACTATATCTATTAAGCAAATTACGCTCTATATTATCTAACTTATACAAAGATTCGATTACTAAAAAGCCAAAATCACTAAGCTTATGTAATTTAGTATTAAAATGAATTGCAACCTCACATGTCTTAGTCAACATGGATGACTTATGATGACTTCATTCCTAGTCGATGCAACATATTGCAATTTGCACTTATTGCAAGAAACTAAATATATTACGTTCTTTGATTTGCAACTTAATTCTGGCTGAATATAATAAAATCGTTTTGTAGCAAAACTAGCAAATTTGTTTGAACCTTGTAAATAATTCTTGCATAAATCACAAATCACAACGCCCACTATTGCRATATTATCTCTTAATTTCGAAGGAGCTAAAATTTCCTTCAAATTCTTAGGCCTTCTATAAGCCGTAACTATTTTCTTACTTGAAAACATATATCCTTAAGTTGGTCCGTTGATTCAAATAAATGTAAGTTCCTCTTAAATATTTTACTAATGTTAGGTAAATTACAATTGAAATCTGTAACAAAAGGAATTATATTACTATACCTAGATTTCGTTTTGACCTTCAAGAGATCTTTTCTATCTAACGAAAGAGCCTTATCAAACTGCTCTTTAACTATTCTAGGACTGGACCCCTGTTCAGTCAAATAATTCTTATATTCTTTAGCCCTATTATCTAAAAAACTATCAGTTGAACAATTCCTCTTGATTCTAAGTGCTACACTACAAGGAATTGATTTTATACAATTATATGGATGAGAACTCGAAAGTGGAAGATACAAATGACTGTCCGTTGGCTTAGAATAAACATCAGTTTCAATTCTGCCATTAACTAAATACGAGGTTAAATCCAAAAAGTTAATCTTATGGCTAGAATGAGTACATGTGAACTTTACAGTAGGATAAAGACTRTTTATACATTCAGTAAACTCTTCTAGTTTTTCTTGACCTAAAGTCCAAAGATCTAAAATATCATCCCTATTATATCTCCACCAACACGAAGGCTTACTGTTAGCGCCGTTCACGCTAGATAATTTATATTCCGTTTCTTTTGTTATTTCTTCGTTGTGTATATATTCGCTTGTAACCGTA